CGGCTCCAAGCGAGCGGCAGCCACTGAAAACCCAGTGACCCACTAAACGGAAGTGGACGTGAGCGGCTCATTCTCATTCGGACTCCAGATCGGGTGTTGCCACATCGTGCGAATTTTCATGGAATTCTCGATTTGAATCGACGGTTTTCACCCCAAATTTGACTCAAGCGGGCAGGAGCGCGATGCAGCGGCGCACAATGGATCGAGTCAATTGGAGAGGTCGGACATGACATTTTCGACAAAAACTGAAAATTTTGATGTTAATTTCGTCACATTTTAAATATTACACTGGAAAAAAAACACATTGGATCTAGAGTCCAGACCCTTGAAAAAATTGACAAGAAATAGGACTCTTGATTCAATCAGATTTAAGCTTAAATCAAAAGGAAATCCGCTTAAATTAAGAGGCTTGGTTCGTGTTTTAAGCTTAAATCTGATTGAATCAAGAGTATTTTTTCTTGTCGGTGTTTTTAAGAGTCTGGACTCTAGATCCAATGTGTTTTTTTCCAGTGTAATAGATGCCTCTGTCAGAAAATTTCACGATGAAACCAATGGAGTCACTTTTAGGGCCTCAAAATTTTGTGTATATGAAGCTTTTAAAATTTCCAAATTTTGGCCGACCTGTCCTTGACTCGAACCACTGTGCGGTGGTGGCGGCAATCACCTCGAAATACGAAGCGCAAAAAAAATCTGGCTGCACACGCAACGTTGTCGGGTGCGGCATCCTCCGAAAACTGAATTTTTTTGCGCGGTTTTTAGTAAAGTAGTGATGAGTCAGGTGTAGCGGGAGACCTCGATTCACACATCGCCGAGTTTTTGCGACTTCATTCAGTTTTTGAAGCTTTTTTTTCGCCTCCTATCTTCACTTATTTTACTGGAACAAAATGTCAATTGTATGTGTAACCTGTGGATTACAAAATAAGTGGTGTTAGGCAATCTCGGTTCGATTAAACATTTTTGGCTCTTATTGTGTTCGAATCATCGGTTCAGGGAGAGAATTGGTTTTTGTTAAATGTCATGCGAATAAGAGCCTGGAGATTATATATTGAATTGGGAATTGTGGTTCGTTTTTCACAACATCTTTGTTTTTTTTTATATGCGGAGATGAAATTGATGCAGAATCTTTTTGGAACTGTTAACTTCAATTTTACCAATTAAAAACCTGATTTACTCGTCTTTTTTTGCTTGTTTTATTGGTTTAATTCACTTTTTACCTTCTTTTGATTCAGGTGGCTGTCTACAAATCATCCAGGCTGATAAAACAAAAAATGTGCACAACTGGATGTGATTAAAATTGTTTCACTCAGTATACGTCACATCTACTTCATTGTAGGCAACGTTATTTTGGCATCTTAAATAAGGAAAAACAACTTAAACGGGAAAACTCCCCTTATATTGGAACAGTTATTGTCGACACAAAACATTGCGAGAAAATATACGACAACGGGCTCAAAAATGGAATCTAATGAACAGAATCGCTAATTTTTTACATACTAATTTTACTTCAAAATACCTCAACTTGTTTTTAATGAAAAGAGAAGAAAAATCTTCGCCCTCTTCTGCACTTCCACAGTTGGAATCTTAATCATTGAAAAGTTTAGATTACAGGGCTGGTGGCACAGTTTACAAAGGAATGCAATCAAAAGCGTGCCTGCATAGAGGGAATTTGAATCCACTACATTCATATTTGTAGGAAACGCTGAAAATTGATTTGTAGAATCATGACGACGGATTAAGTATTCTGCGTTTAGCGGCATTACAAGTCAGAAATATTCACAGGTTGTGCTATTTACGTATTCGGAGTATCCTTTATTATGTAGTTCGATCTGTTTCACCATACGGGAATGTACTTTCAATGATTTAGCATTCTTGTTGTCAAGTTAACCGACAATATTATTAAGATATTATTGTATGGAAGCACCCTCACCTGATGTTAACACCAAAATTATGCAGTTCTACTTTTTTTCCAAATAAGTTTTGGCCGGTACCTGTTTTGAAACATTTATTTTATAGATATGCGTTCTTCTAACCCAAACTTTTCATTTATGTTACTTGTTTTTAATTGATTTTCTTTCGAAGGTGGAAGTTCAAAACATTGACGCGGCAACACTGGGAAGTTTGCCGCGGATGAAAGACTGGAGCAAAGGCGATTAACCTGCACACCGCCCCGGTGCGCCACTGTTTGAAAAAAAAGTGTTGCCAATTTTAGCTGAGAGTAGTGATAGATCCCTACAGACAACTATTTGTGCTTGATGGGTGTCCGCAAGTTGCATTTGCAACATTGAAGGCGCGATGGCGTAAGGTGTGATCGGCGTGAACTCACAAAGTCCTGCTCTGCGCTAGGAATGAGTTGGACGTATTTATACGAAAGGGAACTAAGCGCCAAATTTCCAAATTTCAGTTTTTAACGGATCTGGATTCTCCATGTAATAGGCTGCTCTCACACGTAAATATGCCCCCAAAATACTAATTTCATCCCCTGGAATCAGCCCCTGAAAAATCGCAAAACAGGGAATCAGCGATTACGAATAAAATCAAAAGGAACTATATGTAATTCCCTTTGATTTAATGCGCNATGAGGTTGTCGCTCGGATTTGGGAGAAAACTTAAAAAGCGAGACCCGATTACGTCGCTCGTATCTCCGGCGGTGTTGATCACGTAGCCCTCAATATGAAAGCACCTCTGCAAATTGTCGTTTCTCTCACAAAAGAACGCAACTACGATTCAATATTGCCAGATTTTTTCTCGCAAATTGCATTTTTACCGGAAGAATTATAAAAAATTCTGACTGAAAGTTTCATGAATTTTTCTTTTTATCTCATGCAAAAATTAAACAAATTCCCAAAGAAAATTAAGCAGGTTTATTCTCGTAAAAAAGTAAATTCTTTGAGCCAATTTTGCAGCCTTGGAAGGGACTTGCGTCCCCTCTTGTGGAAAAAGACAACATAAAACAAACGAAAACAAACACAGTATGGGAATACAGGAGGGGAGAACATGCGTTGATGACGGCGCAGAGATACAACTATTCGTGCTTGATGGATGCCCGTGATGCATCTGCACAATTGAAGGCGCGATGGCGTGCGTTGTTAACTCGCAATTCTTCGTTTTATGCTGCCAATAATGAGTCGCTCAGATTTGGGAGGAAAGTTAAAAAACGAGGCTAGAATACGTCTCTCCTATCTCCGGCTGTGTTGATAAAATATTTTTTATTTTCTTTCAAGTTGATGTCTGATTCTTTTTTCAGGATGGAGTTGTAGACCTAAATTTAAATCTCATCTGTACCGACACCATACAACATGCAGAGCGCGTGTTTGTAACACCCCTTGGGTCAATTCAACCCAGCTTTGGCTTCTAGGCGTTAATGAAAATATCATTAAAATTACCGAACCTTACTCGTCAAATACTCAGTATTCAAAAACAGAGCCAAAAGAGGCTAATCGATAAGTAAAGTTCAATAAAATGTAGTTGGGATTTACCTCGCAAAAATAGGCAGCAAGAGTTTGGTCGCGTTTAAATGCATTCTAATTGGCAACAAAATGATTGTTGAAGAAGACTCCAAGATATATATCCCTGATACATGTAATGCATTTAATCCGATCTCCTTTTTTTTACGTTTCTTATTGAGCACTTTGTCATTTTTCAACTGGCCAATTTTTTTTCTCCCTCGTTCCTTCAAAAGTTCAGCGTGTACATCCTAGATTCAATTTTTCATTTTTTAATGAGATTAAAAAAATTCATTACAGTTCTCATAGGGACCTCATTGACATCTAAACAAGGACATATACTAAGGGTCAAGTAATGATCAGTGTCTCCTCAGCGATGAGTCGGAAAGGTCTCGAAAAAGTTATTGATCCGAGATGGGCATATTTCAGAGAAGTTGGGCCGATTTGATATCATACTCCTTTAAAGCGATGGATCAAAACGTGCTCAGGTACCTTACAGGTATCAATACCTTACAGGTATTTAATTTTTTTTTTTTTTTTTTGAGAATAAAGCATTGGGGGTGTATGGTATATTGCACGGGCATGAAAAAGAAAATTGGACCGTTTTGATATCATTTCCTTTTAAATGATGAATCCAAACGGTACTGGCATCACATTTTTTGGGTGCCTGATTTTTTTTTCTCTCTGGTAATTAGTGGCATTTTTTGGATTGGGCCGAAATTTTGTACAAATATTATATTTTTGTTTTTATAAGGATACTTAGGACGAAAAAATTAATGGACGTAAGAAAGTGAACCAAAAGCACTGTAACCCTGACTTGGGCCAAGATGCCGGGCACCCCGTTTGTTTCGGAGGTGATATGGCAACCCGAGAGAAGACTCAGCTCACTGGACGATGAGAAGAGCGCTGCAGCGGCCGGCGCGGGGCGCTCGGCGCGATGTCCACGAAAGACGCAAGCGGAGTGAGAGAGAGAGAAAGGCATTAAAGGTGGGACAAAGTAACGTTGCTAAGTATTGCATCAAACGTGATGTAATAATCCTGTGCTCAGTTCGCTGATTCGCGTGTGTGACTTTCCCGAAGGTTTGTGTGTTTGTGTGTGAGAGAGAGGAGAGGGGCCCCGATCCAGATATCTACATACTCGCGGGGACCCACAGCGCGGCGGCCGGCGCTCAACGGGCCCCCGGTCCAGGGCCCCCTCCCCGGGCCGCGCCGGGAGAGGGCGGGGAGGGGGAGGACTTCCTAGTCGCCGCTACTACAAAACCAAGGGGCCAGAGCCAAGAGCCATCAGTCAAGTTTTGGATTCGGTGTGAGCGCAACGCGGGCAAGATGAGAGTGTTCGGTGTGCTAGTGTTAAGTGTCGCCTTGGTCTTGGCCGAGGAAGCCAAGTCGGACAAGAGTGCCGAGAGTGAAAACACCGTCGAGGACAAGAAGCAGGAGAAGCGAGGACTCTACGGCTTCGGCCACGGGTTCTGGGGCGGCGACGGAAACTACGGCGACTTCGGCGGCCACGAGTTCGGCGGACATGGACACGTCAAGTCCATCACCATCACCAAGGAGGTACCCGTCCCTTACCCGGTCCATGTTGAGAAGCATGTGCCGTACCCTGTCCACGTCAAGGTCCCCGTCGACAGACCCTACCCTGTCCACGTGCCTAAACCCTACCCAGTCACTGTAGAGAAACACGTCCCAGTGCCCGTGAAAGTTCCCGTCCCTGCACCCTACCCGGTCGAGAAGCACATCCCGTACCCGGTCAAAGTCCCCGTCGACAGACCTTACCCCGTCCACGTACCCAAACCCTACCCAGTCTACGTCGAGAAGCACGTTCCTTACCCAGTGGAGAAACACGTGCCTTACCCAGTCAAAGTCCCAGTCGACCGTCCCTACCCAGTCCATGTCCCTGTCGAAAAGCCAGTGCCTTACCCAGTCGAGAAGCCCGTGCCTTACCCAGTCAAGGTCCCAGTCGACAGACCTTACCCAGTACATGTGCCAAAACCATACCCAGTCCACGTTGAGAAGCCAGTGCCTTACCCCGTCGAGAAGCCTGTGCCTTACCCAGTCAAGGTCCCCGTCAAGGTACCTGTTGAAATCCATGTTCCTGTAGAGAAGCCTGTCTACGTGCCAGTCAAGGAGCACCACCACGAAGAACATCATCATGATGAACATGATTACCCGAGCTACGGCAGCAGCTACAGCTACAGCACCTACGGAGGTGGATACGGACATCACTACTGAGGTGCCCGCGTCTGAAAACGGTCAAGTATCCTTCCTTCACGTAGCGCCCGCAAAGAGTCCTGGGAGACCTGCAACATTCCGGCGAACAAGGGCAGAGACTTTTCTTGCGGTGCGTGAGGATCTCATTATTTACGTGTGATTTTTCCTGTGTCAACGAACTATCGCAGGCGTCGACTGCACCACGCCTCTTTGCATCGATTCATGTTTCACTTAAAGTGCAATACGAGTTGTATAAAAGTAACTCAATCACAATACCAGTGATATGTTTCCTCCGTAAGTTACCATTGTGATTCCCTAATTTTACGATCCGACCCCGCGAGTAACACACTCAACTGTGCAATAACTCCTTTGAGACTCTTAAGTGTACGTAACGACTAAGATGATACATTTAACTTCACTTTCGATCAGTGATAACGTTTTGCCTAAATCTGTATACGGTATTTTGGGGGGAAATTTTAGGAACTCCTTAATGAGGATTTTCCTCAGTTCTATATTCGGTAATCCCTTCCATTTATTTTGATCAAAATTTAAATCTAAGGATTCTACATAGCTGCTCATATTTTTGCAGAGATTTGATTAATGTCTGCCGAATCATTTCAACTCGCTCTAGTCATTTTTGCATGAATTACATTTACTCAGACTTCGAATTGCGAGTATGGGAGGCATTTTAAAGAAATAGAATCCTGTAAAGCTACCTCGTAATCAAAAATTATGTAGAAGATAATTGTCAAACTTTTTCGCATATTTGACATGATTTCTGATTGCCAGGAATTTCACTTTTTCGTTGTTCGGAAAATTGGCTAAGACATCGTTTCTGTAAAAAAAATTGATGCCACTTGGAAATATTATTTGGTGCGTTCCAAGTCCACTTTATCATCCTTGCCTGAATGATTTTAATATTTCTGATTTTCTTCAAAGATTCCAGACGTCAGTTGTACCTGAAATTTTATACTTATGTTACCATGTTGGAAACTGAAGTTACCTACCTAAATAAAATCATTCAAGATAAAAATTATCTCTTCAAATGTTTTGCCTTTTTTAAATTTTGTTTTTCACGTTTAAAATGAACTATTTCTATCACCTCTTTTCATCCGTCCATAGTTACAAAATGCAGAATTTTTGATGATGATGTTGCATTAGCATCTGAACAATTATTCATACACCCACTTATGATAGAGTATTTTTGTGTAAAATAATGAGAATTAAAACGTTATTTGAAGAACAATTTCTAATAGTTTTCTGCCTACTTTTCCTTCCAGCTCCTGATTTTTTTTCTGTGGTAAGAATGCGAGAAAGAATTGCTAATGCTAAAAAAATCAATTTTCCATTACCAGAAAAATGATAAAATATTGAAATTACCGATAATTTTAAAATTAAGATTTTTGAGATATTGGGAGGATTTCCCATAAGAAGGAGAATGATAAACTAAAATACTTTAACCATCGCAATTATTTAAAAGAATTATAAATTTCCTTAACTTTCTCTTCGTGACAGAAATTGTACATTTTAATAGAAGTAGCAGGAGTTGCGAAGAACATATACTTTTTGTGAAGGACCCGCCGAAATAATTGTATCTATAGTTTTAAACGAAATTTCGATTTTTTAAAAAAAATAATTGCGGCTGTTAAAGTATTTTAGAAAGATTTTTGTCGCAATGATGTCCTTTCTGGATGCCGTACTATGTCATAAATCTTGAATTTCACTCACAGAAAATCAACACAACTCCTCCTGTTGAAAGAAAAATATTAACTTTTCATTGACATAAACTTATTCTGTGTGTAAAGGCCTCAAATTATCCAATTTCATTGTAGAATGAATATCCTACACTTTAGTGCTTCAAACGTTAAGTTAAGTACGTCAAAATTCAGTGGGTTAGTTTATTGAAGTGCCAAATGAACGTTACTCCTGGGTGACTGAAAAAAAGTTTCACCGAACATTTGATGCAGATTTATGCCTCAAATATAATGTAATATTGCTTCTCTCATAAAATAAGCGACTTTCATCCATAAAAATATCTCGCAAAAAATCATTCTTTTTTCCTTTAAAAAAAATGAAAGGGGGGCCTTTTTTATTTGGAATCGCAAATGAAAACCATAAGAGAAGGTGAATTCATTTTAAGCATGTTACCGTTATCTCTCTTTTGGAACTGATTTCAAACCTGCGGCATACCGCAAGTCAAAGACCAAAAATTTCAAATCTAAGTTTACATCAACCAAATACTCGTAGGTCTCAATTCAAATTCATCAAATTCAACGTATTGATTAATTTAAGGCAGTTTTTACTCAGTCGAAGTTAATGACGCATACACAGGGTAAGTGCTATTTTTGAAATAAAATATCATAAATCTTTTAAAGAGAGATCATGTTAAAATTCAGTAGAATGTCAAGTTTCCAAGAAACATTGATCCAGAAACTTATTTTTCAACTCTCAAGAATCAATCCATAGCTTAAGAAATAATTACTAATAATATGATAGTAAAGTTTTAGAGGTTAAGAAAGTAAATTCAAAAGTTAAACCTCGTGTTTCTTAAAATCGCAAAAAATCTACTGACTCTTTTAATAGCCGGAAGAATCCATCACCTTAAAAATAAGTTTCAAACCTACACGAAAAAAAAGCATAAGCTACACAAATGTGAGATTTCAGGATGATTTGACATCTAAGGTAGTGATGAGCTTCATATGAAAACGAGAGCAGAGCACGAATCTGGTGTATCTTTGCAACACACGACTTAATTTTAAATTAACTTGAACTTGACCGCATCTGTGAAAACATTGAGAGACGAACTGAAGTATGCGGAATGAATCATGACCACTTTGATGCCCTAAAGACATGTTTTCGTAAAAGGGCGAGGTAGAATCCAGAGTACTTAAAATTTCATTCAGGAAAAGGACAACTGACCTTTCACCCAGAGTAAATTTAAAAGAGAGGAAACCAGGATTTGCCATGAAACCGTGAACTTCTGCCCAAAAATGTGATGAAGTATTATGCTGCCTTGCTAAGGAAGAACATCATATGACCAGTCGAGAGTTGCCAAATTTCCTTCGATAAAATGTTCATTTTGGAGGAAAGTTATGAATATTATTCCTTTTACCCTTTTGAAAATCTTTAGGTGAAATTGTGAACAAAATTATCTGAAAAATTGGAAGAAAAATATTCATAAGTTCATTAAGAAAATTGGTGTTTAATCAATCGAAATTTGGCAACGCCTGGAGGTTCATACGGCGTTTTTCCTTAGCATGGCAGTATGATGATGTTACACATAACGTTATGAAAGACATTGCCATTAAAATTGTCAAAATTAAGGGTAAATGAAGACGAAGAGATGGAAATCTAAATCAGCAAATCGGTACTCGTAAACAAATATGTGTTTGACATGGAAAAAGAATGTAAAAAGGTATGGAATAAATCATAATGCAATTCTTTGAAAAATAAAAGGCTCATGATTTTATGGGCGTTAAAGATCATGAGGTTTTTGCGCTTGTAAGTAAGCGCTTCACCATTCAATCATTTCGTCAATTTGTCACATTAAATACATTAAAAGAGCGTTTGACGGGCAATATTTTCTAGGTTAATTTAACCCAACTTGTCGTGAAAGTTTTCTGAGTAAAGGGTGCCAGTTCTGTGGTTTTATTTTCTAGATCACTTGGTGGCGCCTGAGGAGGCAGCTTGTAGTTATTGACTAATTGGTTAGTTCTACTAGTCGCAGAATATTTTTTTCGATGGTTTAAGCTTACAGATTAGCAATAATAATAATAAAAAAAAATGCCTGGACTCAAGTTTCCACGATTTTCGTCAAGTACCAAAGGAGATATCACTCATCAAAAATCACGGTGTATGACAGCATTCACCGCAGTTGTGAGTATCATGGTTCCTTCTACCTTAGTTTCATCAATAAGTGATACACACATTTGCAATGCTGCCGTGCTAAGGAAGAACGCCGTATGAACATTTGAGAGTCACCAAATTTCCTTCGATGAAATGTTTATTTTTGAGAAAAGTTATGAACATTCTTCCCTGAAATTTTCAGGAACAGAAGGTGAAATCGACAACAAAATTATCTGAAAAATTTGGAAGAAAGATATTCACAAGTTTACCAGGATATTCGTGTTTTGTCGCAGGAAATTTGGCAACGCCTGACGGTTCATACGGCGTTTACCCTAGCGCGGCATGGCTGCTCGACAGAAAACACGGATGAAACCAAATTGGAGGAAACCGTGGTATTCACAACCGCGGTAGATGACGTCATTCTCCGCGATTTCGATGGTCAATATCTCCATCAACTTGGAGTTAAAACAGATCTCGTTACCATTTGAAACCATTGAACCAAAATTTTATAACAGGGGCGACCGAGCCATCATCACAATTCTAGAGGAATGTAGAACAAGCTTTGGGGTGAGGATTTGTTTCTTCTCTCTATGGGCAAGAACCAACGACCGATTATCAGGAGCTCTAAGAATCGAACTTATAAAGAGGAGCATTAGATAAATCAGCTTGAACCACCCGATCACGTCAACAGCAGTTGGTACTTGATACTTGGTAAGCCAATGCGCCAGCTATTCGCGAGCAGAGAAGGAAGGGGGGGGGGGTACACGAGTTCATTAGGTTAGCAGGGTGCATTCTAATCCTAGTATCGTTTAATTTAACCCACCGCTTTGGCAAATTTAACCAAAACTTTGCTTGAAACCTCGAATCGTTTTGGTTGATCTAACCGAGGGAAAAGTAACGCAAAGTAACCAAAAACGAGAAAACTTTATAAGTGTGTTCAAGGAGTGGAAAAAATATTATCTAAAAATCCCTGCTTTTGTTCACAGTTCATAGTTTCCCGGACGAGGGAGCGTAACTCCATTCCAAGGTTGCACAATTTACTCAAACGATTCAAATTCTTATACGAATGTACCTGTACAATGTTGTCCGTAATTTTGCTGATTTTTGCACAATATCGGCGGAAAAATCAGTGAAATTTCAGTCAGATATGTCTAAGATTCTCTCGGTAAAAGTGCAATATTCGAGGGGGAAATTTGGCAACATTGGAATGCACTTACGCCTTTTCGCAGAAAAAACGACGAGTTGTACGAAAAATAGGCAAATTTATGAGACGTGAGAGGGTAGTTTGTGTCCCAGATCACCCTAAATGATCCCTTTTCAAAAAAAAAATCCTGGGCTTAGACAGAATGAACCTAGACGTTTTTCGCTGGTTTTTGAACCTACCAGTGGTTCTGGAAAACGTAAAATACGGAATTCTTAATTGCTCACCTTAAAAAGTGATGCTTCTCCACGCGCCGTGACGAAACAATGCGCAGTGGCGCTGAAGACGGTCGTTAACGCTCAATTGGACGAATTAAAAGCCAAAGGAACTATACACATGGTGACATGAGCCCTGCCATGCATATATTCTGATAAATCTCAGGGCTCATGTCAGAATGAACATAGTTCCTCTTGATTTAAATACGTTCGATTAATTGAATCTTAATCCCTTCCGTGCCTGGGGGCCACTCATGAATCCGCAAGATCGGCTCATTATGTGGGTCAAAACACAATTACGTCAGAATACGTCATAAAAATTACGGAGCTGCGCTCATGATGCTGTTGGATTCGTTGCATCATAAACCGATTTATTCAGAGCAAAGTGCCGGGATTCTGACACTTTTTCACCTTGATTTCGTTCTTACGCTATCGTCAAGTTAAGGGGGTTTAAGACGTGGAAGCTACATTGTCAGGATTCTGTTTTTAGATTGCTGCTTAAGAGAAATATTCTTACGAGTATTTCCTATGCAAGGAGGACACAAGTTGGAGTGTAGTTTTTTGGTTGCTTTTCATGCGATTTGTTTACTTGAGAGGAAACTGGGTGTATTTTTCTCAGTAATATAATTGAATTAGTGAGAATGAAAATATACAGCCGTGGAAAAATGAAAATGTTTGAGAGACACACGACACTGCTCCTAAAGTTAAACAGATAGTCTGGGAAAAAGTTATTTGGTGACAAAGCCAGAGTTGGCGACACTAATTTCTTTCCAT